GCTCCGGGGTGAGCTCGATCTTCTCGCGTCCAGGCAGAAAAACTAGCCGAGAGACTGTTCGAAAGGCGTCATAATTATCATAGAGGATTTCTTCTGTTAGAAGGTCATATCTCTCCTTGGTAGGGAACGGACAGCCGTTACTCATTAACACAGGAATTGGCATTTAGACTGGGGGGAAGCGTTCTGGTTTTTGGGGGGGGGAATCCATCATATTTTGGTAAAGTCTTTGGGACACCTGAGGAATCAATATTTGACAAAAAAATATCAGATTCATTGGTCAGAATGAGAGCCTCCACCTGAAAAGGAGAAACATTTTGGGGAGGTTTTGGGGGGGGGGGGGGGGGGGGGAGAAACAGAAGCTCACTCTTCATTGCAGTTTCAAACTTTCCCAAATCCTCTTGGGAAATGCTATACCACTGCTTCGGTGCGCCAAAGTGTATATAATTGATACTATACAAATCGACATCCTCGAGGTGCCAGGCGAAGGTTGCCTTCCACATTCCCAGATACAGATAGGCAGTATTGACACCGGGAACCTTCTGTCCAAGAATATCCAATAGATTTGGCAGTTTGGCAACATTCCATGAAGTTACGCTATCGTCGAAGAGAGACCCAGGCATATCCGCGCCGTACATGGGGTTGTTATACATGAGTGATTTCCAATAGGCAGTTTCCAGCTCCTCGCATCGTTCAGGGGTGAATTCCTCGGTGCCAGAAAGTCGGTAGTCGAAATCTTTGAAGGCTTCCTCATCAATGTAATCCGCAGCGTCGCCACGGTTATATTTTCTCCTGGCAGAGACGGATTTGGGCTGTCTTCCTTTAGGTTTAGGAGGCGGTAAGACCTCTCTATCACTAAGTACCTCTGTCTTGGTTTCCATGGGTCTGGATTCCGGAGAGACGGGGGTTGGAGGGCTTTCCGGCTTTGACTTATCCACATGGGCCTCTGTGGAATCCTCTCTAGGTTTGACAGCGTTGTTGTTGTTGTTGTTGTTGTTGTTGTTGTTGTCCACTATTTCTACGCGCTTAGGTTTCGGCCCCGGTTTCCGCCTCTGCGAATTAGATCTAGATTGTTGCTTGTACGCACCACCACGGGTCACCTTTTCCTGGTTCCGTCTCCGCTCGCCGCGTCGGGCGGGGGGTTGATGACTACTCTCCTCGCACAGCGCTTTCCATTGCGGCAGGTTATATGAGCGTTGTTTTTCGATATTGGCCTGGGTGAATGTGCCATGCGATCCGTGGAATTCTTGCATGATTGGGTTTTTGACACGGATAGTTTTGATTGCTTCTTCGAGGGGTGGAAGTGCATCGGTCCTATGACAGGATAGCATTAGTTGCCATGATTGCAGATAATGTTCAGCGCAGCAGAGAGCGGTTTGAGGAAAGGACATCAGAGGTAAATAAACGCAGGTAAAGAAGAAACCACTTACCATTCCTTAGGCGGGATAACCTTGATCACCCCGGACTTCATCCCGTAGTGATCGACTTTGCGTACAAAGGAAGCAAAATCGCAGAATTGGTCCATTGTCTAAAGCAGCAATACGTCAGTGACATGGAACCAAAGTCATAAAGACATAAAGATATCAAGGTATATATACTAACAGGTTTAAATACCGGAATCCTCCCCCCTCCGTAATAGTGATCCGGAAAAATCTCATCCGCAGCTGTAGTCGAGTCAGGCGCAGTAGTTGTGGTATTCGCATTGGAATCGAGATCCATGTCGGAAAGGTCTGAGGTGGTTGAGGAGGATGAAGAGGAGGACGTAGAAGGGGTGGTAGCAGAGGCAGCGATCGAGGGCCCTGGAGAGGTCTTCTCCCCAACTTTGTCTCCGTCTGCGCTGGATGGAGGGGTCATGGAGGCGGTATTGTTTATATTGGCGGTGTTGGTGGGAGTGGGATCTGGCAGCGGGCAGGAGGGAGCCATGGCTTCGACGGATGAAACAGCGTCGGCCATGGCCTCCTTTTTTTTTTTTTTTTTTTTTTTTTTTTTTTCCTTTTCTTTCCTTCTTCTCTTTTTTTTTTTTTTTTTTTTTTTGGACGGTAAGTAAAGGGTCTCTCTCTCTCTCTGGCTGGGGATTAAATACCCTCTGCTAATAATTTGGTGTTATTAATTTGTATTTATTAAATTGTAATTTCGTATCTTGAACAATTATTTTTCTTTGGAGGGGCGACCGCTGGTTTGACGGCCGGATGGAGGGATAAGGGTCTTCCCCGCGGTCCTCGGAGGGGTAGAGTAGAGAGGGGAGAGGTAGGGGAATTGACGAATCCGAGAGCAGGAGATTGATACTGGGGGAGGCGGGGAAGGGAGAAGTATATCGGGGGATGCTCTAGCTATGGGGACGGCAGAAGGTGAGTGGTAGTTAGAAGTAGGAGTATAGCATAAGGTATGGAAAGAGGAGGAGTAGTGGCAGCAGTAGGAGTAGCGGTGGTAGTGGTAGTGGTTGGTAGTAGGGTAGTAGTAGTAGTAGTAGCAGCAGCAGCAGCAGCAGCAGTAGAAAGTATAGAGTACAGGAGGTGGTTAGGAGGTGGAGAGCCGGGAGAGTAGTTCTTCCGCTGCGAGGGACGGCAGCTGCAGCAGTCAGTTCGTTCATCGAGCAGGGTGGAGTCGACTTGGCGCTGCCGCTGCCGCTGCCGCTGCCTCTGCCTCTGCCAGTGGTGAGGAGGAAGGCCCTGGCATCCCCGTGGTAACTGGGCAGGAGGAGGAACCGGCGGGATGGGCGCCCAACGAATGGCTGACGGAGGAGGGAGAGCCCCCGCCAGGCCCAACCCGGCATAGCGGTGTGACGATAGGCGGGCAAAGGGCGCAGAACCCGATGTCGGGATGGGGATTGGGGAGGGAGGGCAAGGGGGGGACGATGACAAGCAATCCCAGGGATGGGAATGAACACGATAAAACCAGAGAAGGCTTAAGTTTATTAAAAAAAAAAAAAAGAAAAAAAAAAGAAAAGTCAACTACAATACTTACCTAAAGGACGTGAACAGATCGATTGATGTTGCGGTTCATAGAGTTATTTGTTTTCCCCCCAGAAGAGAGGCCGCCTGCCTGAGGCTATCTTGAAAGACAGATGGAAGAGATAACAGTCAAGACACACGACACAAGCGGTAGCAAAAGACAAAGGCTTTAGAAAGAAACTAAGAGGAGGCCGCTCCGAGATAAAAGAGGGCTTGCAAATTTAAGTAGCAATTAAAGTAGTTCCAGCTCCACAGGCCAGTGTGAACTTGTCCTGGCATTTGTCCGCGCGCGCTCTTGTTCTTCTTTGCCTGCAGACTCTTGTTCCTCGCTGCCTGACCGGATTATCCCTTGTCCGCTCCCGCCTGATTGGCTGGTTGGCAGCGGCTGAACAAGGAGGCGGGGAAAAGGGCAACGAGACTTTGCCTCGGGACCGGATTATCTGCAGCTGCGAAACAAACGAACAACTTGGTTTGGCAGAAACCTCCTTTGGCGCAACTGGTTGGAAACTATTAATAGCACCGCAAAAAGTCGTACGATGGAATTCATACGGTGACTGTCCGGCTACATCAAAGGCGGGGGAGTTGGAGATGGAGATCGCTCCTCATGGAGAAAATTGGGGTTTTTCAAAGTTAGAAAGGATAACTATAGGTTATTAAAGTTATCAGATGTAATTTAGTTTCAATGCTTTCCAATCGCCGTTTTCCTCCCCTTCCCCCTCCTCCTCTACGGAGCACATTTCAATTTTCCGGGGTTAACCCTCTCCAGCGCATAGACTACACACTCCAACAGCAGTTCTCTCACCCCTTCCCACGAACCTCCTCCAATCAACGGCATCCCCGCTCCATCCAGAAAACAGTTCTTCACTTTAGTCCCGGCAAGCCCAGTCCAGTTTCCAACTCGACGGCTGCAGTCCCGCAGCATGCAGTCTGCAAGTCAAGGCCAGTCTGCTAGTCGATTGTCACTCCCAAGAGGCTAGTTACTTCTGACTAGATAAGTTTAGCGATCGACTGCTGCTTCGCTCGCGTTTCTTCTGAGAAATCGAACCAGCCAGGGAGACTGCGTAGTTAATTTATGCATCTGCACGGAAGACATGCATTTGTGGAGTTAGTTGTTATTTATCCCTGGTAAATAATAAAAACCAAAATAAATAAAAACTATGCCTAATGAATCCCTATTCGCCAATTCCGCGTCATATGTTGCGCTGTAAGTTGTGGTTATGGATTTGCGGTCTTAGATCGAACCAGGGTAAGCAAGTCCATGGGAATAAAAACCCACCTGACTAAGTACCATCCCATCCGTAAATGAAAGGAGGAGGGGGAAAAAAAATGGGGGGGACATGATATCAAACATAACCGAAAAGAAGAAAAACTGAAAGAGGAAAAGGTCGAGAAAGAAATGAAAATTAAAATGAACAAAGTATTCACAGGCATGCTACGCTTGTTTTACTTGTTTTTCATAATATATGGAAATACTTTGCAATTTTGATGAGATGCACAGGATCAGTGTTCGCATTACTGTGAACGTTTTTAGTGCACAGTTTGTCTCTCTAGTTATTGTAGATGTAGAGACAAATACAGATATCAATAAAAAAAAAATTACAAAAAAGAAAAAGAAGAAAAAAAAAAATTACAAAAAAGAAAAAGAAGAAAAAAAAAATACACGTCACCAATATAGACCCCTCAATACTCATTCAACTGCAACTGCTTTCCTATCAGCCTCCGCTTAGGAGGCATATCCCGAAGATCCCCCGGCGACGCTTTCAGCGCATTCAACAAGATCCCCGCGTCGAAAAATCCATCTGCAACATAATTAGTTAGCATATCAACTCTAAATGATAAAAAAGAACAGCTGCTCTAATAATGAGAGCAGGAGAAGGGGTGGGGGGGGGGGAACTTACATCCACCCATCCCATCATCCCCTACCTCCTCGCCATCCACCATCACTGTCTCCGACTCCCTCCCCACCATGTGTGGATCAGCCCGCACCGCCCTCCCCTTTCCCTTGATCACTTTCTCCCCCATCCCACCACCAGCAGCAATAACCTCCCTCTCCCTCGCGCTAGCCGGCACAACCCCCTTCGGCTGCGTAGCCCTCAACAACTTCCGAATCTCATACAAATACGCCTCAAGGCTCTGTATAAACCTCGTAGTTTGCCTATGTTTCGACGACGCACAGATACTAATCGAATCGTCCTTGATGATATACCCAATCCCGAACCCGTCGCCGCTCGTCGGCCCGAAGCCGAAATGCCGCAGGCTCGGATTCCCGCAGTTCGACGTCGAGAGGATGGTAGTGTTGATCTTCTCCCAGCCGCTGTCGCTGAAGATGGCGGGCACTCGCGGCGGGTGGTTTATGCGTAGGCTTCCCGAGCTGGCGTAGCTGGATGATAGCACGCCGTCGTCGGAGGGGGTGGAGTTGGAGAGCCCTGATGTCACCGGCCTCGGGGCGGGGGCCGGAGTGGGGATGCCGACCGGGTCTGCGGCCGGAGTTGTCTCGACTGTCGATCCCGTGTCGACGTGGCTGGCGGAATACCCGTTCATGGCTGGGATGTCGCTATTGATCATCCCCCGCCCGTCCTCCATGGAGCGCTGCCAGAGGCAATAAAGGGCATACAGGTGTCGATCTTGTCCATGGCCTTGCGAGCAGATGCGCGTCATGGCCGTGTGTTTCTCCGTAGCTTTGCGGAGTGCAGCGACTTTCTCAGCTGCGGGCCGGTCGCCCCAGAACGTCTGGACAAACTCGACGGATTCGTTCGAGACGGTTCGCACGGCTTCGGTGCGCCCGTGTAGGAAGAATTTGGTCATGGCGGGTTCGTAGGTGTTTTCGACACGGCCGTAGAGGCCGAAGTAGGCTGCCTGGAAGGCCATTTGGACAAAGGCATCGGGAGACAACCCCATGGACGTTATGAAGTTTTTACCGTAACCCTTGAAATCGAGGACTTGGAATTCGTGCTGGTGGAGTAAGTCGGCCAGGTGGGATTCGGCAAAGCGGAGGGAGGTGCTGAGTTCGGGGCCCATGTCCCATTCTAGTTTGTGCGGGGTTGTGCTGGCATGTGAAGAGAAGCTTTCTGCGCTCCGTTTGGAAGGGGGTGGGCTGGTAGTTGCCCAGAGACTTGGCGACTGGCCGTTGATTGTCCGGGCAAAACGGAGAATCGTATCGGTGTAGACATCACTAGCAAATCGGAGCACCGTGTGGCCATCGACACCGGTGTGTTCAAAGTTGATGCCAGCGCTGCCATTCTTGCAGACGATGATTTGCAGCTTGTCATACCATCGATTTGTGCAGGTTCCGATTTGTACCCCCCGCACCACCTCGTTTGTGCCGCAAAGCATATTGGCACAGAGATCAGCTGTGTTTGAAGGCTCTGTAGAATCCAGGCAGAGAACAAATAGAGCCGTATCGACGATGTTCAAGCATTCAGCATTGTTAGATCCCTCCTCTTTAGTCAAAATATCTCTCAAACCAGACCAAACTTTCCGATTCTCGGTGCTGAGCACCCCAAGCGCACCCTTAGCGGCTTCCTGAATTGGCGTCTGCTCTGCATCTTCAATAATTACCTGAAGATTGAGTGATATGTCTCTTTCACTCATAAGTAGATCGTTGTTGTCATCCAGAACGTCAAACCAATAAAACTGTCCCCGACAAAGAACAACCATATGCTTAGCGGATGAATCTTGACCAATGATACAACCATCATTGGTTGGGACGCGAGCTGTGCCAAACAATCTTGAGTATTGGAACATGCAGAGAGGTTTCCCCCGAACTGTATCTGGAGCCAGCTCCTCTCTTCGAACAGCTCGAACAAACGACAATGCAGACACTACCAAGGAGGCTGCCCGGGTGACCTGGTTGTTCCTCGAGGGAGTAGGATCATCCTCCAGAAGGAAAAAGGGATTGAGATTAAGAACAACAGCTAAACCCCATATAAGCAGGGTTCGAGAACGAAAAGCCCAGGGGGGAATCAGGCTACAAACTCACGGTTATCGTAATTCAAATAAGAATCATACCCTGGATTAACATATCAGCATCTGTTTTAACCAAATGAATTGGAAAAGGTATAAAATGTTATTAGGACTCACAAAATTGTTCAATATAACTTGATTTCGAGTTCGCATAATTCTTTAGTTTATCCTGTAACTCTGGACCCTCATATTTGAGAAAATCATTCACAGCAGCCTTTGTCTCCTCCTGTTCCTTGACGGTTTGTAGGGGGGCCAAAATCTCCAGATATCGATTGCATGTGTTTTCAATATCGGGGATGGGGAGCCTGGGAAGTAAGTCTTGGTTTGCGAAGGTGATACCGTCCTTTATTTTCTGGAGTTGTTTAGAGCCGTCGCGGTGTCCATGGCCATCAGCCGGTGCGCTTCCAGTGGTTGGCTCGGCTTTCAAAAACCCGTTTGGTAATTTGGGAGTGTTCGCCATGGCGCTTTCGGTAAGGGTCTCCCCTAGGGGTTTGGGTTTAGTAAAGAAACGTACTGTCATGGTTGAGTGCGACATTTTTTCCAACTGATAGTAATAGAACCCAATTTTGCCTGTGAAAATTAGGCGTAATGTAAGGCTATGACGGTGGATATGGAAAGGAGTCGCAAGGCACTGCGGGAGATATAATGGCAATCCCAGAGGCAATAAGACGGCATGGAGGCAAGTCTTAAAAAGAGGACAGTGATGAAGAGGTAGACAGCAGCATCACCATTCAGTTCTAAAAAAGGAAAATGGGTCAATCTGGGGTTTTCTTATTCAAATCGAAACATTAGGGGTGACGGCAAGACATATCAAGAAAATCAAACTAGGTGGGTGGAGAGTGCGCATTCAAGCCAAGTGGGAATGGCGAACTGATGACACTCAGGATATCACAACCGGATGGGATGATGTCACAGTCGGCCGCAAGCCCGTCGACATGTGAACACAAAGTAGGCACTTCGGGCTGAAGGAGGTATGGGGTATAACTAACTTAGCGGACTGGAGGAGGAGGAGGAGGAGGAGGAGGAGGAGGAGTATGACAATGTAAAAAGGCAACTCAAAAGAAATGCAAACAGGATCCTCCCCTGGGAGGGGCAAACCGAGAAGGCTGGAACGGGAAGAGAAGCCCCAGCCAAGCGTTAATAACAGGGCTGGTCCCGTCCTGGGGGTCCGTCCTGGGGGTGATCGGGACAACGGATGAGCTGGGGTAAGGTAGTCGGTAGAGGTATTATCTTACCTTTTGATGCGGGCAAGGTGACAGGGAGTTATATCAGAGCAGCTGTGTGGCGGAGTGAGTTGCTAATAATACATGAGGTATCCGTTCTCTGAAAATGAGCATGAGGGGCACGCATTGTCAGTCAGTTCGATATCGACATGAACAATTATAGAGCTGGAAGAGTTTGGAAAAAAACAGGGTTGAGGTGGCACTGCCAGCGGCAGTAGAGAGAAATGTATGATGGGATGGATGAGGGATACTTGATTGCCACAACCACCCATCGCGACGGGGCTGTCAGCTGGCTGTCTGTCAGCTTAGGCTGTCACCCTGCTCTTGTCAAGTTAACTAGTTGCGCAGACATCATATTCCAACTATCTGCAAGAAATGAATCAGGCTCAACAACCCAAAATGATACAAGGCAAAAATGATGACAGAGAAATACTATATGATAATCTATCAACTATTTTAAGTAATTGAAATAAGATAAAAATAAAAAAAAGTCCCATACAAAAAAAATTGATTTCTTTGCAGGTTCAGAGCGCATGATGAGGTAAGTCATGACTAAAAGTTAGGTAACTAACTAGTTAACTAGTTAACTAATTGTGTCAAGGCCTATTCTTGGCGTTCAGGCCTTCCGCCCAAGCCAATCACACGACGTCCATATATCACGTGACTATAGGCAGATCCATGGGATGAAGAACCAAATGACGGATATTGTTTAACCACACATTCCCCCCCCCCTTTAGCCGTATATGAAAAAAGTCTCAATAGATGGATGGTCCTGTACCGCTCAAGGCAAAGCGCTGTTTGAAATATCCAGGAGATGGCGGCATAGTTTTGCAGCCGGTAGCGTCAACGCAAATCGGCTTATATGCTCCACTTCTTGGCAATTTGAACTTCATGCTTGTTTTTCATGTCGATGGTTCCCTTTTACAAAACCTCACATGCACATGATGTCACTTGCCCATGTAAATTCAGGGGACATTCCAGAGTGTCCATGGAATCGAAGAGTTTCAATAATTGTGTCTTGCCCACGTGCAATTGCCAAGAGCGAATCAGTTGTGGATACCCAAATACCACCAGACGTCAGTTTAGTTCGGTGCTGGTGGGGAAAGTTTAAGTCTAAATAATCAGATCCCACGGTGTATTATGTAATAAAACCTTACGCCGAGCAAAATGCTAATTTAATAGACAGCTCCCTAAACTTCTGGCACACCCATATTTTATACACGGGATCGTTACCTTTAAAAGGCTTCTTTAGCCAGGCCGTGTCCACACGCATATGTGAAATGCTACCATGCTAATGATCCAGTAAAATTGGAGGTGGGAACTCCCTCACTCTTCGGACGAAACACGTGTGATGTGGACCGGCGAGGATCCAAAGTACTTCACCTAAATAAGAGGAAAAATCGAGACTCATTCTGCTTGCCTTTGAGCAAAATACGAAAACGCAGTCTCACTCAACCAGTAGGCTCAGAATTATTGTGAGGATTGCTGTTTCGACGAGATAGCCGAAGTTAAACAATGAAAAAGAAGAGGAAGTCTGGTTGCAAAAAGGGCGTTTGTCTCAAAGATTGGGATATAATGTGTGTTGCCAGTCGTCAGAAAGCGGATCAAGTCTGAGAGATTATTAGTAACTGGAAGGGTTTCATTGGTTTCGACATACACATTAGAGTCGGCGATCCGAGGACAGAGACACAATTACTCCGTTCCCAAACATATGGAATTCCCACCCGGTTCAACAAACACCGCAGCAAAAATGTTTTTCCTCCTCTCCCATGTCTACTCATCAACTGGCATTTTAAAGAGCTCACAAATTTTAGAACCGTTCGTCATGTCCTAAAAATGAAAAGCCAACTCTACATGATGAAGGGGATGCGGATTCTCGACCCAAACATGATGATGCAACAGACAAAATCTATGATCAAATTGCCAAGTCGATGCTTCGACTTTCTTAAGTTGATTTTATATCTGCATTGAACCTATCTTGTCGGACTCTGCTTCAAATACACGATCTCCGACTGACTGACTGTCAATGAACAACATGAACAAGTTGGTAAAAGATCAAACTGCTCACTGATAAGTTTGCTTCATAACATTTACAAGTGAAAGAAATACTTCTAAAATCTTGCAAAGTTAAATTTCAGATCTGAGCAGAATATTATTCAAAAGCGGATACCCTCCTATTATTAATTCAGAAAGCTTAACGTAATCCACTACCAGGTGAATCATCAAAATTTAATTCGAATTATCCCAATACAACAACGTTCAGTTAAATTAAAATAAATTCCACAGTAATCTTGTATGCTCAAAAGTATTCCAATTGCTGCAGTGTTGTGGAGTTCATCAATATAGTTTGAGTGTAGAAGAAATCCTGAGCCTCTTCCCTAGTTAAGTTCTATTTGCTTTCATTCACAGCAAATATATACGATATTGCTTTTTTATATTAGAAGTGTGACCATTTCATATTTATAGACCTTGATAATCTGATCAAATTCTTTGACCAGACTCTGAGAGAGGTTTATAAGCTTCTGTTTCATAACATTTTTTTTTAATTTATCTGCTATTATAATTAGCAATTATTGCTGAGTGTTTGTAGAATTTAGAAAGACTTTGAGTTATTGAATCAACTTCTCAATGAAGTAAAGTTTTAGAGTTGAACTTTTAACTATTGAATAATCCAATCAGAGTCAAATGAGACTATTTCAAAAGTCATATAATGCTGCTGTAAATGTTTTAAATCTCAAAAACTTTTATATATCAAATAAATTTTATTTCCTAATAAAATTAGATTCAAATTGCTTTTGCTGCTCAACTAAACTGCTGTTCACATATTTTAGATCAAAAAAACACTTTCAATTAGTGATTGTAAGTAATATGATGAATATACTGATATATGCAGAGAGAAATAACTCTAATATTTTTTATTAAAATAATTAAACTTTGAGGTAAAATAACAGCTGTATATATTCAAAATAAAAAGTAGATATATATTAACTCTACATAAATTTACTGTAAAAATAAACAGTTTAATATTTGATTTTTATTTGATTTATAATTCAATCATTAGAACTAATACCAAGCTTTCAGTCATCTGAAAGTTTATCAAATTAGCTTTTACGTAGGTTTTGACTTAAAATAATAAAATAAAATGGTAGAACTCATTCTGACATGTTGACTAACCTGATCACAATGACTCATTCTAAATTTTCAGACTGTAAAAGCTTATCTCATTATAGTATTCAGCACTAGTGATGATTTTAGTAGTCAAATGTAATGGCCTAACGCCTGGGTGATAACCTTTCATAATTGTTACGGCGCAGCTGCTTGTATATGGATTAAGATTGATTTGTTCTGATTCCCAATCATATCCGTTCCAAAGGTTGATCTGTTCCAATCCCCAACTACCTTTTTATATTCAGCTGCTCGTTCATTCCTCATTTAATCCCCAGTTTAGTGTTTTCGTCGCAGCTGCCTAGTTAGATAGATGAATTGAAGCTTTTGTCTTATTATCATTCTGACTCTAAATTAAGTCATGACAAATAATCAAAACTCTTTACCCGGATTATTTTCTCCCAATCTGACCTTTATCAAAACTCTGCATTCATCTTCAAAGCTTTTTTATTCTCTTTTCTTTTCTTTTCTTTTCTTTTCTTTTCTTTAATGAATTCATCTTTTTGTTCTATGAGGAAGTGCTAGAGCCGTATTTGAAAACACACCTATTATATTATATAAAGTCTTATTGCAAATTTAATTTTATTAAATATGTAAATATTTTTCAGCAAAATCATAATGAGCATGCTACTGAATACAGCTCTAGCACTTCCTTATAGAACAGAAAGATAAATTCATTAAAAGAAAAAAAGGAAAAGAAAATGAAATTTACAAAGATGAATGTAGAGTTTTACACAAAGTTTTGATTATGAAAGATTATCAATCAGATATTAGCTTATTACAAGAATCTTATACTCAGTAACATTTTTTCTAAAATCTTAAACTACTTTTGAATAATCATTTTATTCTTATATTGTAGCTTGATCATGATTATTGTGATGTTGTAAAACGGGCTCCGTTCAGATTACTTGACAGCGTAAGGCTACTGGGCTGAATAGGGTAATTACAACTGCCTAGCAACCGCCTAGCAACTGTGCTAAGGAAAAGGGTATATAAACAGAGCCTTCCCTGACCCCGTCTATTAGGAACCATCTTAGTATTTTCGTCGAAGTAGCTTACCTAGTTGGCAATCGAACACCTGTTTCACCTGCGCCTAGATTGAAGCTGTGACATTAAATATATAATTTAAATATTATAATACAAAAGA